AAAACAAAAAAAAAAAACAAAAAAAAACCTGATTATCCCAGCTTTGAATGTTCAGTGAAAGAGTGGTTGGCAAGCTGGAGAAATAGCTCAGTGGCCTAAGTGCCTGCCTGGCAAGAGCAAGGATCCAAGTTCGATCCCTGGTACCTCATGCCATGCTGGCCCTGCACCACGTTGGCCACTGAAACCTGGCATGGTGGTGCACGCCTGTAATCCCAGCACTGGGGAGGCTGAGACAGGAGGATCACTATGAATCTGAGCTGTATAGTAAGACCCTTTACTGTATAAATAAATAAGTAAAAGAATAAAAAGATTTTAAAAAAAAAGAGTGGTCAGCTTTTTAAAGGGAACATCATTCACATCAGTATCAAATATGAGGCAGCTAAAGAATGAAAGGACTCTAGAATTGGCAATTTCTGTCACACAACACGCTTCTGACTGCGTGCCAGGATGAGGTAAGGCCACAGCTGTCAGGAGTCGTTCCCTCAGCCTCATTGCGCTTTGCAGTACCTCTTCCTCCCCCAGGAGATGAGGCTACACTTCTGGAGTTTTGGTTCCAACGCATGGGAAATTCTCGACTCACACCACCCTCTGCCTGTGGGGAGAAGGGAGGCTGTGCTTTATCCCGCAGATTCATCAGATTTCTGGATGATCCCCTTTCCTAAGATTTGGCCCAGTAGAAATGATATAGGCGTGGATGAAGGAAAAAATGTGCACACATTAAGCACATCCTTGGCGTCCTATTCAGAAATATGAACTACATCTTCAGAGCAGGGACGTGGATTCTGTGAGAATTTCTAGAAAACAGGGGCTGATCCTGATGCTTAAGTGACATATTCTATTTTAGGTATTATTATTTATTAAATTCTCATTAGACTTATATGGATCTGAGGGACTTAAAGGATACTCTGTACAGCATTACCATGTCATCCAAAATCTTCACCCAGACAAAATACAATGCTGCCTTGGTTCACAAACTGAATCCTCTCTACAGTTCTGGTCACAAACCAAATCGGACAAGGATTGAGTCAAATTTCCCCATAAGATCAACACTGAGCCTAACTACTAAGTTTGATTCAGTTCTTGTTCAATCTGGCTTGATTTGCAAGCAGAATCAAGGAAAGAATTAAGTTTGTGAGCTGAGGTACCACTACATTCAGCCATTGAGCGTTGCCTGGGGAGCTGATTTGGAATGTTCTTGCCTCCACAACTGTGAGCAATAAATTTCTATTATTTACAATGTACTCAGACGAAGGTATTCTGACATAACAGCTGAAATGGACTAAAACAATGCCCTTACTAAGAAGACTCCAGAGATCTGTCTTGTTCTTTTTCCAACTGTGAGGGCGCTAAAAGAAGTTAGTCATCCATATCCCAGAAGAGGTCCTTTAGCAGGACTGGACCACACCAGCACCTGGTCTCAGCACTATAAGGAACAAATTCTGCTCTGTACAAACCACTCAACCTATGGTTCTTCATTATAACAGCCTGCACTAAGACAGGCGGGCAAAACAACCAACTCATTCTGAACTCGTAGCAAAGTGTGTGTCACGCAGCAGATGTGGCCTCGTGGTTATCATCTGCTAGCACCTGCTCTAGGGAAGCTCAAAAAAGGGGGATTTCCACCCCTTCCTCAATTTTTTTTTTCCCAGAGAGCCATTTGACATTCCACATCCACTCTTTCCTGCTGGGAGGACTCCAGTATCCTTTGGGGACACCAAAGTCTTCTCCTACCCTTCTACAATGAAGTAAGAACAAAAGCACTTACCACATGATCATGATCACTAACTTCATTACGATTTCATTCAGAATGTTGAAGAACTCCACCATCAGCTTGGCCTGCTCACCCATCTTCCCCATTGCGATGCCAAAGGCAATGAAAAACCCTATCAGACCTGTTGGGGGAATCACATGACACACAAGGACAAATTATGAAGTATGTTTGCTTTTTCCTGATTCTTCATCATTCTCCACACATGAAGCAGTGCGCATGACACTGTCTGCTAGCCCACCAATTAGATTAAAAGACAAAAGCATTCGATTTCCCATGGGCAGTGTTTCTCCCTAGATAACAGTGACTTTCCTTAACTTCTTCTACATGACCAATATAAACTGCAAATGTGCCTGTAGCTCCCTGAAGAAAATTAATTCAGTTTCATCCTAAACTAAAAGGTACTCTCCTCTTTATCTTCTCAGTTATGAAATTTTGTGAAATTGCATGTAACCAGATTCCTTCATTATGTATGAACAAAGAAAGGCTTGTTGGGACTTGGGGACTGTCATACCAACTTTGGAGTCAGTGCTGGAGCAGCGGAGACCAATGAGCCAATGACATTTTTGTTAAGGTGATTTTGGAGTGATCTCAAATTAATACTTGACTGGTATATTTCCCTATTGAAAATTCCTGCATGTAAAGGTTTTTTTTTTTTTTTTTTTTTTTTGCTGTACACCTAGCATAAGAGGAAGGAGCAATATTGAAAAATAAAGAAATTCAAAATAAGTTTGGGAAAGTCCAGTATATATATATATAGATATATATATATATATATATCCTGCATTTTATATTCAAAATTGCCATAATTCAGATTCATTTCACAGTCAAAATTGTTAGAATGCTTTTCTCCCTCTGCTCGCCGCTCCCATCTTTTTCAGGATTATAAAGATTCGCTGTCAGATTTTGTCCTACTTAGCCACCCAGCCCTCTTCTCCTTCTCTTAACTCTCCAGGACAAACTGTGTCCCAGGCAATTTGAGGCGCTCAGTCCCTGTGCTTGGAGCCAGCACCACAGTGCACTGGGTCCAGGATCAAGCACAACGCATGACCTCGACTCTTAATTCTTTTCTTTTTTTAAATGTATTTAGTACAGTGTTTACAGAGTCTCACTACACAGATTGGACTTGTAGTGATTCTCCTGTTCTCAGGCTCCAATGCACTGGGATTACAGGCATGCGCCACCAAGCCCAATCTCAATTGCCTTCTCTATGTGCCCCGGGGGCAGGGCCAGCACGCAATACTGAGGATTGAACTCCAGCTGTTGTATCTGCCTAAGCAGGCACTTTAATCTGCTGAGCTATCTGCCCGGCCCTTTGACTTTTATTTCTGTGTTAAATTTTCCTAATCCCCAGTGCCTTAGCACCTGGGAACGTGCCCTCTTCTTCAGTTCCTGCAAGAAGAGACCTGGCTTTTCTCTCTCCAAGAGATGCTTCCCCACCATGCCAGCCAGTCCTTTCCACTATGCTCCTCATTGTCTCCCCCAGACCCACCCAGAAACTGGGGCTCACTGTGTGGCTAACAGATATTCCCTGTACTGCCCGAAGGGAGTCTCGATTTTTCTGTTTGACAATTACTGTGCACTCCCTTACTGCTGAACCATTATTCCCTATTTTGGGGCCCCAGTTCTGACTACTTACAGCGATGACAATCAATACTGCTGTACCTTGGGCTGTCCCAGACTTTTTCTCTGCAACAGCATAGGCCATCTTCTTTTCTCTTTTCCTCCACCCTCTTCCCTGCCATCCCTTGCCCCAGTTTGGCAGGCCTAATTCTTAGTCTCCCATGTTATATCCAGTTTCCTATCCTGTCCAGTTACATCTGGAATCTTGACCTGTGTCTGGAAAACTATCGTGTGATAATTCGATTCTCTTAGAGAGGAACTGCTTCTCTCTGAACCACTAGTGTTACCCTGACCCTCGCCTCATCGCACCAAGGACATATCAACACAGACAGATTACCTATCGCAAGATGTTCTTTTCAGCACAAACAAACAGCCTTACATTCTAGATTGCAAACACATGTACTTAATATTTAATATCTCATTTCTTAGCTCTTAGTCAAAGACTCTGAGAAGTGACTTCCCAAGTGAGTTCCTGGCTCAGCAAAGGCAAGGACTTGCTGAGGATCAGGCCCTGCCAGACTGGACCACTTCTACAGGATGAAATCAATTTCCAGCTGAACACAAACTCATGGAGAACAGTTTGCTGGGTATGTGGTGAGAAACAATAAATCTCATTATTATGGCTGAAAATATCAATTACTCCATTAATGTCATTTGAAAAATATGAGACAATGATCAAGGTTGTAAGTCTCGAGAACTTTTAAAGAGAAGCCTCTCCTCAGGGCCAGCAGATCTTGCCATATGTATGAGAACAAAAGAGAGATGTTTTAAAAGAACAACTAGAGTTGATTTAAACAATTGGATTTGGGTCCAGAATTGGTTCTGGAGGGTTGGGGAGAAGAAAAATAGATCCTTCATGATGCGGGAGACAGAACCAGAATTATACCTTTATTTATCACAGTGCTCAACATTTAGGACTTTCCAAAGCCAAAGAACAGAAAGACAGAAAAACAAAACAAAACAAAACAAAACAAGTCACCATCTCTACCCTTGGAAGACCATGGAAAGAACCTTATTTATCCATCCTTGGTAAATGGGAAGTTTCTCAACAATTCTAACTTCCCTCAGCTTTCCAGAGCCTTGATTGGTGCTTGGATAGAAACCCACATGCAGTTTGTCATTTCCTTCCATAAATATTGCCTAATTGAAATCACTAGCTGAGACTGGGGTGTTCCGCTTGAACAAAGCCCTTTTACACGTCGTCACTGGAGTTGAAAGAGGAGCGAGATGTGTTCAAACTTGCCAGCACAGCCAAAGGTTGTGTGATTTCCTAGAACCCACTGAAACGACCAGGATGCGATTCGTCTACCTGAGGTCTTGGCTTTTACCTCATGGCTCCTGCCTCTTTCAGAGCGTTGGGGATACTGTGACAAAGAGGGCTGGGTCTTCACTCATGACCTTCCAGAAGAGACAGCGAGTGTTTTGGGGAGGTTCTGGGAGGGTCATGAGTATCTGACCAGTGGGAGAGACAGGGTGCCAGGAATGTTGGCAAACTCTCTCTCTGGGGTTAGGGTGTATCTCCATGGTAGAGGCCTTGCCTAGCGAGTACAAGGCCGTGTGTTCCGGCTCCAGTATAAAAAGTCATGAACAAAAAAAACTTCCCTGAAAGTTCAGCTGAGAACTTTTTGCAGAAGAACTCTCTTGCTTTCTCCTCTGATTGTCAATCATGTTTACTGATCTTTCATCACCAGGCAACTCAGGGAACTTATCTTCTCCCTACCTCTCACTTACCCAACCCACTTCCCTCCTGGCCAAACCAAAAAAGATCTGTTTCTGTTTTAGTGTTTAGATCTTTAAGCCATTTTGAATTTAGTTTAGTGCATGGTGATAGATCTGGGTCCAGTTTTAGTTTTCAGCATGTAGAGAGCCAGTTTTTCCAGCACCATTTGTTAAGGAGGCTATCTTTCTTCCAGTGAGCATGTTTGGTCCCTTTGTTGAAGATAAGGTGGCTGAGTGTATTTGCATTGCTTTTGCATTTTCTAATCTAGTCCATTGATCCTCAGGTCTACTTTTTTGCCAATACCTTGCTGATCTTATCACAGTAGTATATATATATATATATTTGTAGAGGCGCCAGGTCTTTTCTGCTCTAATGTTTTATTTTTTTTTGGCAGAACCGGGGATTGAACTCAGGCCCTTTCGCTTGCCAGGCAAGTGCTTATTCTACTAAGCCATCTCCCCAGCCCCCTCCAGGTCTTTTTTGGTTCCAAACAAATTTTGAATTTCTCTAGGTCTGTGAGGTATGTTGGTGGTATTTTGATAGGGACTGTATTAAATCCATATAACAATTTTGGGAGTACGGCCATCTTCACAATGTTGGTTCCTCCTCTCCAGAAGCAGGGAATATCTTTCCATTTTCTGACATTGCCAGTTCTGCAGATAATCCACTACTATTATGGACTACTGAACTATATTGGATTATTGTATTATTTTACTGAATTCACAACCTACAATATTTGAATGGCAATGGAATGCTCATCTCTCACAATACTAAACCAAAAATGGGGGATATAAATGAAGGACCATTTTGCAGTGAAAAAATATATACATGTTCGTATATACAAAATAGTTAGGATAGATATACAGCTAATTTCTCTTAGTTCATTGAGAAGAAAGATTTGTACTAATAGTATTTGGACAGGATATCATGTCTGCATCTTGTACTATGAATAACTACTATGAAGACAACAATATGCAAGGTATTAACTATTGTAACTGTCCTACTGACCTGTTTTGAAACTGTCTCATTGCTATTTCTTTCTCAATAAAATTAATTTTTTTAAAAAGATCTGTTTCTGATTCTCAATGATGGTACAGTCTTGCTCCCTCTGCCTCTTTCTCTCTACAATCTATGAGTAAGGAGGAGGGCTACCGCCTTGAGAATAAGCAGGTAAGACGACAATTACAATTACAATCTCAATTTCAGACTCACAATGAATCCATTGTCTTGGTGTAATTTGTATTTAATGTATCTTAGTGTAGTGTATTGGGGAAATGCACTAAAAAATCACTTGTTTATTTTATCTAAAATTTAAATTTAAGGGCCAGCCAAATAGCTCAGTGGATTAAAGTGCCTGCAAGCAGATTTGGTCCCTGGGCCTGCCACGCGTGCCCCTCCCCTGGAGTGCACTGAGACTACGATTCAGATTGGGTGTGGTGGCACTTGCCTATAATCCCAGCACTTGGGAAGCTATAAACAGGAGAATCACTATGAGTCCGATCTAGTAGTGAGGCCCTGAGCACCCTGTAGACCATTCCCTAAAAAATATAAAAAGTAAATAAGTATATAAAATAAAATTTAAATTTAACCCAGCAATTGTGTTTTATCTGGCAACCCAACCAAGGAGACAAGGACAACCGATCTATATGGAAAGGAAAAGGAATTTGAGCTCATCTGCTTTTAAACAGCTTTGATTGGAAGATCTTGCTTAGTAATCTAGATTCTCCATTTCTCCTGTTCTATGGATGAATGACCTTCCTTCTTGTCTTGGGGATACCACGTTAGTCGTGGGTGTGGATTTTGGAGGGGACTAGACCCTCAAAATGGAAGTGGCCTGGGAGTGAAGGAGAGACAGCCACAGTGGGGAAACGTCATGCCCTGGGGGCCATTTTCTGATTGAGTTCCTCAGCTCCCGGCCCACTTTCATTAAAGATCACAGTTCACCTGACCAGAGCACATGATAGGCACTACTGTGCTTTAGACGTAGCACTTGATTGAATCCTCCCGAGGATCTACAAACCAGATGCCAGTCCCACTTCCATTTCTCACCAAGTGGAGCAACTTGCCCAAGGTGAAGTAATCAGAGGGTGACCCAGAAGGCTCAGAGCCCAAGTCTGTCAGGTATTAAGAAGCTCTCAGATAGAAGGCTCAGAAGTTAGCAGGCTGGAGAAAGGGGGCTTCCAGGAAGCTCAGAAAGCTAAACAAGATCATCTGTAAAGCCCTTTTGGCCCTTACTTCAATGCTTTACAATATGAGTAACTTTATATATATTTTGTTTTGTTTTTTTCCAGTACTGGGGATTGAACTCAGGTCCTTGCGCTTGTCCAGAAAGCGCTTATTCTAAATGAATTATCTCCCCAGTCCCCTACATTTGTTTACAGACTGTGTGAGCTGGAAATAGACAATGTCATGCTTAGTATAGCACTAGTGCATGGGTAGAGCTCAAAAAAATGCTTCAGAAATAAAGAAATGGAGACATGGATGTGCAACCTAATAGCATGGAGATTTATACAAAGTAATGTGCTGAGACCACATAGAGAGTCAGGGAATGTGCCCAACCAATGTCAGCCCCTTCCTCTTTTCCTATCCCACACCTCCAGCCATCAGGTCCCCTACGGCTCTGTCTTCTGCCCTCTTCCTTAATTGCTTGGTTCTCAGTTCTCTTGGCCTTCAAATTGCTTCCCAGAGAGAACCTCCTGCGCCACCTAGAGGACATTAGAGTTATCAGAAAGGAGCAAGGGAAACTGAGTAGCCTGGGGTTGGTGAATGGGCAGCCGGAAAAGGCACAGAGGTACCTCACCCAGGAAGGTGAACCCCAGACCACACTTTGCCTACCTAAGACATTCATCCCATCCTTGAACTCCAGGCCCTTCTTGAGAACCATCTTAGTTTCCTCAGGGACCTCCGTCACAGTCTCGTTCAACAGGGAGACGACAGTGCTGGTGGCATTGGGCTCCTCTGGCTGAGGGGCCACCAGGACTTTCTTCGTCACTGTTTGAATCTAAGGGAGTAAACACAAAGAAGAAGAAAGAGAAGAGGAGAAGGAGAAGAAGAAGCAGAAGGAAGAGAAGAAGAGGAAGAAGAAGAAAACCATAAAGATAAGGTTTAGTCTAAAAGCCAACAAAACCTGGCTACTCAAAGAATTTTGTACTGAAAATAATTAAGAAATTAATTTATGGAACCAGTTTATGAAAATTGGAGAATATTTTACAAGTTTATTTAACAAAGTGATATTTTACTACAGATGTACAGTAGGAAACAACTGTCCAAATCCTAAGAAAACTGTAGAATTTATAATATTAGCTTATACTGTCCTACAAGCATTGTGGTCTCATACAATGGGACGTAAGCTGAAATCTGGGGGACGGTGTCATTTCTTTCATTCTCACGGCTGTACCTCTGTGCCTCAGGGACCATAATAGAGGCTAACGTGGACGCTCCCCAGAACTGTGAGCCCGAGCCTGATGGCCTTCTGTGCCTGCTGGATGGTCATGGCCCCAGTGCTCAATCTGGGGTCCCTCCAGAGCCAGGCTCTGCTGGGAACATCTGGTGGGGCACCAGGTGTGCTAGTGGTAGCAGCCACTATGGTAGGAACATCCACTTGTATTCTGGATCCAACTGTAAGTCTAGAAAATAATCATTCCTTCTGGAAAGCAATACTACCCAACCCTTGTTCAATGTTTTCCAAGCTTGTAGACAGCTCCTTGGGAACCTCTCACACTCCGCCTCGACTTCCGTGGCAGTAATCCTATTTTTAAAGGTGTCAGGCACCCTCCATGCAGACTGCTGTGAAAATTTACATCTGAGCCCCCAAGCCTACCATTGCCAAGGGAATTAAAATAAAACTCATGCGGAATCCTAGAATGTCGGTGTTGGCATGTAGCAGGTGACAGATGGATAAGCCCTGAATAGATACGGAAGAGGATGCATGGAGAAGTCAAGTGACTTTTCAGACGTCACAGTTGTTGACGTCACAGTTATCCAGCTCCACTGGCTTGGCTGCTGTTGAGTTCTTCCCACTCCTCATGCTGTATGGTGAACTATGCAGACCCGAGCTGCCTGCAGCTGGGCCTAACAGGCAGCAATGCCAAGCTGACCAGATGACAGCAGCGCTGTGAATGGAGATCGGTGAGTTGGGGGCTAAGGTGGGTGTCTTGGTCCCAGCCTGGCCACATGCACTGATACCCAGGGTCGGCTGTTCTCTCGCCCCTGGTTCTGGGCAGCAGTGGCATGGAAAGAGAAGAGGAACAATCACAATGGAAGTCACAAGCACAACAGAGTCACGCTCCCAGGGAAGAAGGCTCGCCCCTCTCCTGAGAATGCTAAAGAAGCCAAAGCCCAGGCTAATGGGAGCAGTGAGCACGGACCTACATGTGACTGTCAAGTTCAGGGATGGGTCCCATGCTCCAGATTTGATCGGTAGCTGCTACCTCTTAACAGGAACTAAACCAAGGGCAGATTCCTCACCCAACAGTAGAATCAGGGTTCAAAAAGATTGGTTGGACTGCAAAGTCTAGCTTCAAACAGGCCAGGCCAGGGGCTGTAGGGGAAGCTGACAGGACAGGTGCACTAGAAGCCAATCCTAGTCCTCATCTGAATTCTGGATTCCGAGAGCCTGTTTCCACTGTACAGCTCCATCTGCGGACTGGCTCTAGCTTTCCTCATCCTATTCGCCATCATCTCTGTCCTTAAAATCTGCCACCACCTCCCGATTTACCAACCCACCCTTTTCCTTGCCTGTCATCCATCTACAGGCAAGTACAGCTGTGCATAGTTCCATCTATTTACGAAGCTGCCAGACTTAAAAAAAAAAAAAAAAGCCCCTGACTGTGTGGTACCAGGGATCAAACTCAGGACCTTGTGCTTGTCAGACAAGCACATATCCCACTGAGCTATCTCCCCAGCCCTCATCCCATCCTCCCCTCTTAGAACAAGAATGCAGTTCTGACCTTGGCCTGAGTTGGAGTTTCCTTTCTTCCTTCCGTATTCCCCATTCTCCACACAGCAGCCTCCCTTCCCTTCCCTGAACATACTAACTACTTCTCAACCTCTACCAGTCTGCTCAAAGGCTCTCCCCAAGTTCTCTGACCTCCTTCCTTCTGATTCCCCATCATTTCAGCCGGACATCTCCCTCATTACGACTCGGTCCAGCCTTACCCTGCCTCTAATCCTCACAGTTGTTAAGTTTCTCACGTGTTCACCTGGTTTGCTTCAGGTTTTTCTCCTGCCTCTTAAATGCACATGAGCATCATGGGACTGGGAACCGGCCTCTGTCCTTCCTTGTGGCATCGTTTGCTGAGCAGAGAGCCCAGCCCTCAGAGGCACTCACAAGTACTGGCTGCGTGAACGAGCACTGCTCACAGAATTCCCCGCAGGAGCAGGAGCAGGCGCCGCGTGGTTTCTGTTGCTGGCCTTGATTTAATGTCATAAGGCTACACTTTATAGCCAGTCACTTTCTTGGAAACCTCACTGCTCTGCACAGCAGGTGGGAGGACTTCCTGCTCTCCAAGACCCAGCGACCTGAAGTGGGAAAGCCACACCCTGTTACCTGGGGTGAAGCAGCCTTGGTTCTGTGGAGAGTTTAGCTTTCACCAGCTTCTAGCTCTGGTCAGAAAGCCCTCATTGCTCAAGAGAGACAATTGTAAGTCACTTCCTCTCAGGCTTCGTGGAAGTGACCTCTTGCGATGCCACAACACTTTATAACAATGGCCTGTTCACCTCAAGACCTCTTTCCTGCTTTTTCTTTTCCTTTTTATGTATTTAGTACAGGGTCTACAGGGTCTCCCTACACAGATCAAATGCATAGCGATCCTCCTGTGTTCAGTATCCCAGGCGCTGGGATTACAAGCACATACCACCACACCCAGTCTCAATTGTGCCTTAGCACATGCAGGGGACAAGGCCAGCATGGCACTCTGGGATGGAAGCCCGGTCCTTGCATCTGCCTAAGCAGGTGCTTTAGTCTGCTGAGCTATATGGCTGGCCAGACCCTTAACATCCTGTGCCATGCTCAAGGAATATGTACTCGCCTTTACCTTGGGCAGAGCACTGATTCTACACTGCTTTTCCTCAGGCTGTCTGAACATAGAAGGACCTTGACCAGATTTAGCTGGGGGCTAGGCCTCCACACGGATATAAATTTTGCCTGGGAAGTGATCGGAGTCAGAGTGAGGGTGGCACAGGGACTGACACAGTGCCCCATCCCAGGGTTGGAGGCAGTGATCCATGCAATGGGCAGCTATCTGCAAAGACAGGCCCCTGGCTGAGAGGTGAAAGTGGCCAATACCCCCAACTCAGTCCAAAAACCCCCAACTCAGTCCAAGACCCAAGGAGCCACTTAAGGCACCTGGCTGCTTCTTGGCCCTGCCGTCTAAATGCCTGGACTGAGATAAATGATTTCTCAGCGCCTCCCAGCCCCAGGCTTCTCCTAGCTCACTCCAGGCACTACAGCTCTGGAGAGCTTTTTGTAACATTAAGAGGATACATGGCAGTAAATCACGTCTAATGCTCCAAAGCAATCAATTTCATCTTCTACTCCGGCTGGTGGAAAAAACAAGCACATGATACCGAGGGGTCTACAGCAGCTCTCCTGACCATACTTGCCCTGTCTAGAATGCTTTCCTTTAATATTGGGTCCAAGCTCCTGTACCACCAAAATGGCATTTAAATCCTGCTGAAGTCCTATTTTACTGTTAATTGCTGTAAGAACTGTACTGTATTTATCAGGTACAATGTGCTATTTATTATGCATGTAAACACTGGGTTATAATCACATCAGGTTAAAGAGGCATACCCACCATTCCCAGTGTTTGTCATTTCTTTGTAAAATGGTACTGAAATCAAAGATCATATCCTGTCTCGAAGCAATCTGGATTCTACAGGGTCTGGCAACTGAATTTTAGGGGCAGCTGGGCATACACACTTTCCTCTAAGCTGCCTATCCCCTAAATTCATTTTTTTTCCCTATGATTTCCTGGAAATGGCTAGAGAAGGCTCATTGTATCTAACTTAGTCCCCAGCTAGGCTGCTGAGAACTGAGGAGTGTTCTAATGTAAGCTTGTTGTTGGGAAAGAAAGCAGGCTAGCCAGGAAGTAGGGCCTGGGCAGATGACTCAGTGGCTCCATTCAATAGAATCAGCTGGGGTTTTTTTTTTTTTTAAATTGGCAGAACCAGGGATTGAACTCTGGCCCTTGCGCTTGCCAGGGAAGCACTTATTCCACTGAGTCATCTCCCTGGCCCCAGAATCAGCTGTTTTTAATATTCCCAAGTTTAAAGAAATGCATATGCCTGTGTGCAGTTGGTAGGAGTACACACTGCCAATGGCTTCTATAGTACCATTTTGCAACATTCAACAAATTCTAAGGATAAAGCTTTTTGAACTCATTATTCTTGAGGGATATTACATGATCATAGAAAAGAGAATGATTCTTTTGCACCACTACAGGAAAAAAGCAAGAGACATCATGGCATGTAAGATGTAGTCCTGCTTGAGTTGATTCTTTTAGAAGTCATGAACACATGTACACATGGGAAAGAAGATAAATGTTAGGAAACAAAATTCTCAACAAGAGTAGCTCATGGGAGGGCCAGTAGGAGCTTCTGACTTTCGTTTAATGAATTTCTATGCTATTTACCCTTTTGAATTCCACACATATTATTCAAACCTACAACTTCCCAAAGCATCCAGGCCTCAAAACCATTTTGGAAGATTATAGGGTCTGATTTTGTAGGGTGGGTGACTCACAGGGAGAACCTTAAAGGAAAAGAAGAGGAGCAAGAAAGATCTCAGAGCAAGAAGATATTAGTAAAGCCATATTACTATGCTGAGCTGTAAAAGGCTCAAGTCAACAACTTCTGACATTACCAGTCATGGAAAACCCACTACTATTATGGACTACTGGACTATATTGAAATACTTCGCTGAATTCATGCACTTATAATATTTAAATGACAATGGAATACCCTTCTCTGACAAAACTAAACAAAAAAGGGGATACAAATGAACAACCATTTTGTATCTGTATATTCAAAATAGCTAAGATAGATATAGAGCTACATTCTCTTAATTCAATGATTAGAAAGATTTGTTCTAATAGTGTTTGGGAACAGGATATCATGTCTGCATTTGTACAGTGAATAACCACTAATACAATATGCTAGGGGCCAGGGAGATGGCTCAGTAGAATAAGCGCTTCCCTGGCAAGCTTAAGGGCCTGAGTTCAATCCCTGGTTCT